AGCCAGAAAGATTTGACATTTAAATATGTCTTCCCTACGACTTTAAAGTTTACAATTTCAAAATTCTCAAAATTTTACAATTTCCAACCATTTATATACAACAGTTAAAAATTCTTTGCACTGTAATGATTTTAAATTATCTTGCTTTGGAACTAAATTGGATATTGAAATTACTCGTTAATTTAAAAAATGGAAAAATGATATAGTGCTTTCGGTTTTTATGTTACTAGTGGTTTGTTTTTTTAAAAAGCAGGCTGACAGGAGAGGCAGGGGGAGAGATATGGACCACAGGTGCTTCGCCACAGAAGCACACCTCTATCTGTGCGTCTTTACCAGCTTTACTGATCCACAGACTGATGTGTTTAATAGTTTTTCTCCAGAAAAGTGAACGAACAAAAGCCTAAAATCTCCTGTGTTCATATCTATTTACTGTATGTATAGTTAATCCTCGTCCACCCACTCTGCTCCAGTGCATAGCAAGGCCCCAGATGCATCCTGGGGTTCCATTTGCAAAACGCCCTGACATGAAGATGAATGAATCCAAGGGTCCAGCCTCTACCCTGGAGATTAATTGACTGGCTGTCTCCCTTCCAGAACAGCTCAACCTTAGGAGGCCGTCAACACATAATTGACAAACGAGTCAATACAAATAAATGTCTGGGTATTAACGACTTTCTGCTTCAATACAAATTGACTGCTTGGATCCTTCAGTCTTCCTCTGACAAATTAATCTCGACTAAAATCCCCTCCCCCCTCCATCCTGGTCTCATTGCGTTCTTCCCTCTCTTGATCCAGCCTCATCAACGGCTCCCATAAGGAGAGACCTCCGAGTGTTTCTGTGTCTCCGAGTCTAATATAAGCACTTTGTCTCTCGCAGCGTTTTCTCTCGCTTCTGTAGACGCCGCGTGCTTGTGTCTGTTGGGTCGGTGGGTTTCTGTGTTTTCGCATAAGAGTTGATCTGTGGGTGTTTGGAGCTGAATATCTGATGTAACAGTGATTTCGTTTTGTCCCCTTTAGTTGCTTGTGTCTTAACTAGAGCTGACACGAAATAAAGACCCTGCAGGGTGCAAAAGAAAGCAAATATAAAAGAAGAAGATTATTTTTGTTATAACAAGGACATGCACTGGTAGCCGGTCTTCATTCAGCTGCTTTTAAGACATGTGGCTGCACTGGAAACAATCGAAATCTAGATAAGTAATTATTTCTTAAAATAAGTGCATTTAATTGAGGAAATTAAAGAGATATTTTGCCAATGGAACAAGACAATTTAGATTTAAAATAAGAAAACACAATTGTATTGTCTTATTCCAAGTGGATATTATCTAATTATCTTATTTTAAGGGTAAAAATACTAATTCCATTGGCAAATTATCAAATTTACCTATTAAAATCAAGGGTAAATACACTTAATTTAAGACATTTTTACTTATTTCTAGATCCTTTTTGCAGTGTGGTAAGTTCATAACAGCTTTTAGTTCTGCTCGATTAGTCCAAAACATCTGGATAACCACTTCAATTCAATTCAGTTTATTTCTGTAGTGCCAATTCACAACGCATGTCATCTCAAGGCACTTTACAGTTCACCAGATCATCCAGTCAAATTTATTCAAAGTTTTCTATCTCAGGAAAACCAGTTGATTGCATCGACTCATAAACTCAAAGGCAATCCCTCACACTACACTGGAAAAAAAATCTAGAAATAAGTATAAAATTCCTAAATTAGGTGTATTTACCCTTAATTTGAGTAGGTAAATGAGATAGTTTGCAAATGGAATGAGTATTTTTATTCTTAAAATAAAATAATTAGATAATATGCACTTGAAATAAGACAATGCAATTGTGTTTTCTTATTTTATGTGTAAATTGTCTTGTTCCATTGGCAAAATGTATATTTTACCTCCTTAATCCAAAAACAAATGCACTTATTCTAAGAAAAAATGACTTATCTAGATTTTGAATTTTTCCAGTGTAAGCATGCTTGTAGCGACAGTGGAGAGGAAAAACTCCATTTTAACAGGAAGAAACCTCCTGCAGTGTGAGCGGCCATCTGCCGCTTTCCAACCAGCCATCCGCAACCAAATCAGCTTTCCAAAATAATTTTTTCTTAATTTTTAAGGTTCTTTGTTAGTCGTATTCTCAAAATATATCCCTTAAACTAAATTTGCCTGCTTTTAAACAAAGAAAACATCTCAGAGGCTTTTCTTTTCTCAGAGCTGACTGGCAGTGTGCAGCCATAGTTGACGGTGTTTGATGGTTTTGGTTGATATTAAATGAAAAATGTTTTGTTTTAAATAACTTTTTCAGATGAGTTACAATTCTGTGAGATTTGTGTGGATATTTCTGAAACAAATGAAGCAGTTTGACAAGATATAGTCCATTTTAGTTGAGTCCAGATCAGTGACCATTTTTGTGGCCTAAACCAAACCCTTCATTGCTCTTCATTGCTGGGCTTTGGCTCCTTCCTTCCTGATAAACCTGTTCATGCTGTTTTTCATTGTCAGTAATCTGTTGAGGTAAAAGGTTTTGAAAAATGGTGGGAAGAAAGATTAGGTTTGTGCCTGCAGGGGTAGTCAGGGAAACATTTTAATGCTGCGTTTTCCAGTCCAGGTCCTCGGGGCACGTCTCAGTCTTTTAGATGTTTTTTCAGTTTCATCAGCATATCCTGCTTAAATCAACTAACTTTTTCTGCAGGCCTTGGTGGAAATATGAGACATTGTATCATCAGGACTATATTTTTTGAAATATTTGTTTTTTTGTAATATATTATTTGTTTGTTCATTTATTTGGTTATAATCATCCAAAGATTATTTTTAGATTAATAAGAGCTTCATGCAAATTAATGGAAAACAAAATATCTGATTATTCTGTTGGATTTTTAAATAATTGAATGAATGTTCAATTATAATTGCTTGTTTTGTTGTCTTTTTTATCAGTGTTTTGTAGATTTTCAGTTAAATACAATTAGGCAAAAAAAAAAAAAAAAAAAGGTGTTTTAAAGGTCACCTTCATTTTATCGTGGTTAGCAGAGTTAGCATGCTACCCGTTTTTGTCACTCTCTGTGTGTTTTTCACTGTGAAATAATTAGTTTTAACTTTACTAAATAAAGTCCGGCATTTTCTAATTAATCTTTTATTTGTGATAGAGAGAGTTTGAGTGTTAAAAAGGAGAAAAAGGAGCAGGTTCACTGCAGTTTGCTCAGCATGTTATCTGCTGACGTTTAGCTCCTGTTTTTAGAAGCCTGAACAAACACCAAATATGCCGCCACAGAAAATACAGTTTCCTTTTCAGAAGCTCCAGCCTTCTGACGTTATTTTTTAAACACCTCTCTAATATTTAAATGAATCATTCATTTTCTCTCGCTAAGAACCTTCCCACAGAGATGATTTTGTCGGTGAAATCTAACAGTGCGCTAAACGATTGGAAAAAGATCAGTTTCTTTTTTTTTTTTTCCCCTCATCAGGGCCGATTAAACTAAAAATAAGCAGATTTCCTTCAGCATCTGATTTCTCAGCTCGTTCCTGTAATATCAGCCACTCCTTTCTGGACTATTAAAAGGACTTTTGCCTCAGTATGTGCAAAATAAAACCAAATCTAAATTGCTGTGCCTTTATTTTAATCTAAATATACCAATGCGACCGCTGCCAGAGGCTTCAGGTGTCCACAAAAATCTATCAGGATTATTTGTACATTTTTTACACTTGTGGGGATTTAAATTTTCTTTCATTTATGCAACTTAACAAGACTGAATTTCAGTGTATTTATATATGTAGTAAAGAATCACAACATGTCACCTCGCGTTGCAGAGACGATTCAATCAGATCATCCCGGCTCATCGGTTAAAACATTTTTGTTTAAACCATAGATGAAAAAAAAAAATGGGAAAAATGGACATTATATAAACAGAAAAACTGAAAAGAAGGTGCTACCCAGACATGTTTATGTTAATGTACTATTTATATGTTTGTTGTATGATCAAAAATAATAAAATATAAGTGACAAAAAACATTTTTGTTTAAAGAAAACCAGCTAATTTGAAGGATTTTCTCCTCTGGATCAACATGTAGAAACACTAGACATTCAGTTGCAGTGTGTTGTTGAATCTACAGCAATCCCTCACACTGAGCATGCATGCAGCGACAGTGGAGAGGAAAAACTCCCCTTTAACAGGAGGAAACCTCCATTAGAAACAGCCTTAGAAGGGGAGGCCTTCTGCTGAGGCCGACTGGAGGTTCAAGGAGACAGAGGCAGACTCAGAAAAGTAACATTAAAGCAGGATCTATATGTAAATTCTACATTAGAAAAGGTAATGGTAAACTTGCTCCACCAGTGGCTCTATCTAGGAAAGAAACAGCTTAACAGATGAGCTCTGAGCACGTTTTCATGAAAAAAAGGAGGAAAGAGAACACATACAGCCGGAAGGCCCCAACCTGTTGCTATAGTTCATAAGTAAGACATATTCTGATTTGAAATATCTACAGCCTATATCGGCGTGTTTGTCTTTTCTTAGTTTGTGAGGAGCAAATTAATTAAAGGTATAATATTCTTAGCAAAAAGCCCTTGAAAGCTACCACTAAATTTAGTAGGTGGTTGTTTAATGTTTATTTTTTATCCCCATATCGAATAATGACAAATACATTTAAGATGATAAAAACTGCAAATTGTAATTCAGCTTTATAGTGGTGGTAGTACAGTGAAGTGGTGAATTTTTTTTTTTTTTGTTGAGTCAAAGTTAGATTCTTATAGTGGTCCATGTCTAGTTTATGCCTGCTGATTGAAGATTATTACAGCATATTTATTACCATAATGTGTTTCCGTACACCTTAGAGAATCATTCTAAAGAATGCTGGACATTATAATAGGAGCAGAAAGGTGTCGTTTTTTTATATAACTATAAAAGTCAAACCATCTTTAATTATGTTTTTTCATTTTCACTTGCAATAAAGCATTTTTTTACGAGACAAAATCATTAAATAAATCCTCTGAATTTGTCTCTATGACAGGGCCAGAACCAGAGGATCAGCCCCTGCTCCACCTTAACCAGCAGCACTGCCTCTCCGCCTGCAGGCAGCCCCTGCTCCACCCTCCCCACAGCCATGCCAGGTCAGGCTGGAAACAAGGACTGCGCCTACGGTTCTGTCACCAGCCCCACCTCAACACTGGAGAGCAGAGACAGCGGGATTATAGGTGAGATCTGCTGGGCTGCTTATATAAACTCTCCTAAGTAACAAACGTTTGCTGTGTAAAGTCCTTCTCATCAGAACGCCTTCTTTGACAGTACCGACGCAAACATTCCTTAACACTTGTGTAAAGCAGCCAAAGCTTTATTTATACAAACTGAAACATAATTGTTTGCTATATCAAGATAGGAACGAATTATTTACACTCAACAAATGTTCTAAAACAGTATTTGAATTTTAAAGCAATGATGCACGGAAAGGTTCATGGGTTTCTGTGGCGTTGTTGTTCCTTTCAACCCAACATCAATAAGCTAAATGCATTCTCTGTAAGGTTTAAACATCTTTGTGACAATCCATGGGAGTACTCTAAGTTTTGAACAGATACATGCTTCCAACTTGGGCGGAACAAGTTCAAAACGGCTCCTTGGAACCTGCAAAGTTTGTTGTAATAGAACTTCTTTAGACATGTGAGATCAACATCCTCTATTTTCTTGTATGTGCAATTTTTCCTGCTACTGGAAATACAATTTCCCGAAGGGAGTAATCCCAAGGGATTAATAAAGTCAAGTCTAAGTCTAAGATAACTTTTAATTCAATTATTTATATAGTGCAACAACACACGTCATTTTATGGCACTTTACAGAGAGAATAAAGTCAAATTGGTTAAAGTTTCTGTCAAGGAAAACCGGCAAGTATGCATGTAGAGATGGTGGAGAGGAAAACTCTCTTTTAACAGGAAGAAACCTCCAGCAGAACCAGGCTCAGTGTAAGCGGCATTCTATAGAGGCTGAGTGGGGTTCAAGGAAATAGAAGCAGACATACAGAAAGAAGCAGAAATACAAAAGGCAACCGTCAACCAGCTCCATAGGCGGCCCCAATCAGGAAACACACAGCCAGGCAGACGAGCTCAGAGCCAGGCAGAAGCCCAGCTAATATTTCAGTCAGTCGCAGCTCAACAGGAACAGACCAGTTCAAGCTACTATGACGAGAAAAAGCAGAGAGAAGATGAAGTTATAAGTGGAACCAACAAATACTGCAAAATAAGAGAATAGAGATAGAATACAGCAGAATGAGGAAAAGTGGCCCCTATGTCCTCCTGCATTCTAAGGATATAGCGACATAACTATAGAAAAAAGCTCAGGATAACCGAACTATTTTGGATATGGTATGAGAAAGTTAAAGCCAAAAAGCAACTTCTGTCTGGACTAAATTCTCCCCCAATGGATCAGGCTTTCCACTCTACCTCCTCCTACTTCTTTACTCATCCAACAACTAAGCAAACATCGCTCTGTTTTTAGCTATAAACTTTGTCGAACAGGAAAGTTTGGAGCCTACCCTTTAAAGTAGACAGGGCGTCTGCCTCAGGGACTAAAACTGCTAGTTGGTTCCACAGGAAAGAAGCCTGATAACTAAAAGATCTGCCTCCCATTCTACTTTTAGAAATTCTAGAGGTCCACCAATAAACCTGCAGATTGAGAGCGAAGGAACATAAGGAACAATCAGATCTCTGATGTAAGATGGTTATTTAGGGCTTTATATGTGAGAAGGAGGATTTTAAATTCTGTCCAGGATTTAGGAGGAAGCCATTAAATGGAAACTAAAATAGGAGGAATATGATCTCTTTTTAATTTCCATCACCTTTGGGATTAATTAGAGTTGGGACTGTAAGACATGCTTTCTTGTCTGCATATAAATAATATGCAGCCTTTCTCCTTCTAGTAAAGGAGATCTTCTGCTTGGTACATGTTTAGTACAGGCACCAGGTCTGCTTTTGGAAAGCAACTGAAGTGCCTGATGTTGACTTCAACTGTAGCTTTTGTGCATGATTTGAAAGCCAACAGGAGAGATGAAATGCCTACCCAAATGAGGCACTTCTCAGATGTCAGAAAAGGTCCCATCATTGTTTCCTGGCAACAATGGCGAACACCTGCAGTTAGAGGTTAAAAGCATAACACTGGCAAATTATTGATTCAGAGCAATGGAAACATGCAAAATCAGAAGCAGGAAGCAGGTTTGGATTAAAAAGTGTTAGAAACACCCTGAAAGGTTGCATCAGAGTCTCTCTTTCCTTTTCCCAGCTACTCTGACGAGCTATTCGGAGAACATGGAGCGAGGCGGAAAATACAGCGAGGGCTCCAGAGGGAACCTGAAACTGTGGCAGTCCCAGAAATCAGGCATGGACTCGTTCCTGTACAGGGTGGATGAAAACATGACCGCCTCCACCTTCAGCCTGAACAAAATCCCTGAGCGCAACCTGGAGAGCATGTCCTCCCATTCTGCCCACTCCATCCCTTTGTACCTCATGCCTCGTCCCAATTCTGTGGCTGGTGAGTCTCTTTCCTCTTCCCTTTCTCCTCCTGTTTAAAGCTGGTCAAAAGGGTGCGTGGCAAAGGTTTGTCTGAGAGGAGATTCACAGGTGAAAATGCGGCTGACATCAATCCAGGGCAAATTTTTTTTACTGCTGCTCCCTCCTGTCTTGTCCTCCTATCGACTCCTGTGATTCCGTCTCCTTTCAGTCCTGCGATTTTCACTCTTTATTATATTTTTAGTTCAAGAACATTTTTGCTGTTGGTCAAAAGTTTGTGTTTTTATTGTTTGATTTTCTCTAGAAGGAATTGGCCTCACTGTCTGGTCTCTGATTGGCTAAAAAGAATGTTTTATATTGTTCTAAATTATTTGGCGAAAGCTACAGTTTAGTTTTTAATTTAACTCTATGGTTTTAGATAAGATTAAGGGAATTTGAATATGTTCATATTATCCGGTTCTAACCAGAATGCATATTTAAAAAAAAAAATTTATCAGAGGAAAAAATTTATTTATCAGAAATGTCATTAATTTTCACCAATTTTTGTGGATTTTCTTTTCCTAAATGGACAAAATCACACATTCAAGCCCATCTATGTATATATGTCCCTACTAATCTATGGTGCCATAAATGGGCTTCTTTCAAATTTCTGGTTGGATTACAAATGGAAGACTCAGTATTGTTACCTCATTAATGTTTTCCTTTAAATCAACCACATAGATTTTCTGCAGTGTGGATTTGATGCATTCTGAACGCAATTCCTTCTTAATCTGGCTTATCTCATTAAAACTGAACCTTTGTATGTGTGTTAAAAGCGCAATTATATGAAATTCTTGAACATAGAATCATTGATTTTCCAATTAAAATGAAGGAAGCCATCTTTTGTCACCAATTTTATAAAATAAAAACAGGGAAAAAGTTTCAAAACGTAAAAAAAGAAAAACAGCATGCTGCTTCCACCTCCGTACTTCTAACATACATACTCTGATTGTTTCCAAAGGCGTCAATTTATTTTGTCTGACCATAAAAAAATTATCTGAATAGTATTTGTCTATATGGGCAGCAAAACAATTCTGCATTAGGGCTACAACTAATGATTATTTTGATAATTAATTAATCTGTTAACAATTTTTTTAAATAATAATCTGATAGCCAAAGGTTCCTTAAAGAAGACTTTCAAAATTAAACAAGATAAAACTTTAACTTTTTCACTTGAGGAGTTCTGAATGGAGCAGATTGACAGAAAAAAGATATTTTTTTAATCTTAAATGCAAAATTTGTATGTATTTCTGTACAATATTTGTATAATTACTGCTCTAAGTCATTAGCTTTCTCAGCTAATGGCATGTTTTAGAGTCTCTTAACTCCAATTAAGGATTAATCGATCACTAAATTAATTGACAATTATTTCAGTAATCAATTAATCCGATTAGTTGAATCCACATCAATAGCATTCCAATATTTTCCAGGTTTTAGTAGCTTTGACCCTTGGAGACTCTTAGTTTTTCTGAATTAACTAATCAATTTTCTTTTCAAAATCAGTCGACTCTTAAAGTCAGAGAAGCCAATAAATTTATACAAACTGTATCATTTGTGCTGAGAAGACTGGGAAAATTTTTCAGGCAAACGGATCCAAAAAGTCTGTTTTTTATGCAGCTTTTTAAGAGACTTCATCAGCATTTATTCATATTTGGTTGTTTAATCATCCCATGGTGGAAAAGAGCAGCTCAGTCATATAAGCCTAAAATAAAAGCCTTAAATTAGTTAAATGCATACAAATGAAGATTGCATCCATCTAAGCCTGTATCATCTAAAAATGCAATCATCCTATTAGAGCCGTTCAGTCAGCTGTCTGATCTGTCACTTTTTTGGCCACAGAATTAAAACAACTATTTCATCCAGGATGAAAACATTAAGAAAAACTTTTAAATGTAGAGTCAAACATTGCATAATGATCACTCCATGCTGAGTAATAGATTCTAGGATAACCCCACAGTTTGCGTCTTTTTGGGGGGAAAAAATGTGCTTATTTAATTTTGTCACATTATTCTGAGGTTCAAAGAGACTACTTGAAAACTTTATGCATGTTCACCGAGCTGGCCCAGTTCTTTTTGATAAGAAACACCAAAGCTTTCAGCTAAAACAATAAAAAGGGTTAAAACACTGGAAAAAAATGAAATCTAGATAAGTCATTTTTTCTTAAAATAAGTGATTTTTTTAGGGATTTAGGAGGTAAAAGAGACATTTTGCCAATAGAACAGGACAATTTCCACTTAAAATAAGAAAACACATTTGCATTGTCTTATTTCAAGTGCAAATTATCTAATTATCTTATTTTAAGAGTAAAAATAATCATTCCACTGGCAAACCATCACATTTACCTACTCCAATTAAGGGTAAATACACCTAATTTAAGATATTTTTACTTATTTCTTGATCATTTTTTCAGTGAAAAAAGAGAAAAAAACAACTCGGATTGTGAACAAACACGTTGTTTGTTCCCAGACATCTGGGTCTAACATTCAGAGCAGGAAAACACTAAGTGGGAAGCTTATAAAAGGAAAGCATCCATGCCGACCAAAGAGAACATCGAACTGTCTGCACAGAAAACTTTTAGAAAAAGTAATTTGCCCTATAAGTACAAAACAAATCAGACTAAACTGCAAAAATCTAAACCTATATAAGTCATTTTTTCTTAAAATAAGTGCATTTGTTCTTGAATTGAGGAGGTAAAAGAAACATTTTGCCAATGGAACAAGACAATTTACACTTAAAATAAGAAAACACAATTCCATTGTCTTATTTCACGTGCATATTATCTAATTATCTTATTTTAAGAGTAAAAATACTCATTCCATTGGCAAACTATCTCATTTACCTACTCAAATTAAGGGTGAATAAACTTAATTTAAGGAATTTTTACTTATTTCTAGATCGTTTTTGCAGTTAAAAGCCGGGGTTTGAAAATAAATTGACAGAAATCAGCTGTGGGAAAATAAAAAGGACGAGAAACATTGTGAAAATCTGAAAGGAAGAAAAGATTTTATTGAAAAGCAGTAATGAACCGAATTATTCAGAGGAAAAGGAGATGATGCTGAAACATTTGCTCATTGCCATCCCAAGCCTTTGCATTGTGTGATCCTCATATGGATTATTTCTTTCAATATTTTCACCTCAAATTTCTAACTGGATTTAGATCCAACCTTTTTGATGCTGGTGTCGTCGAGTTGGTCTCTTTTCCTGAGAAAAGGTTCTTTGCATGTTGGAGAGACACATCAGCCACCTGAAAAATGACCTCATCTGACCTGCTTTGGATTGTGGAAATTATGATTATGAATTATGATGCGGATTATGACTGAAAACTAAAACTTCCTGACTAAAATAAATCAAAACAGGACCTGCAGAAACACACAGCCATGATATTCAGGCTCATAACAGTGGCAGAAATCCAAATATAGATAAGTAATTTTCTTAAAATAACTGCATTTGTTCTTGGATTGAGGAGGCAAAAGAGACATTGTGCCAATGGAACAAGACAATTTACACTCAAAATGAGATAAAACAATAAATTTTCTTATTTCAAGTACACATTATCTAATTATCTTATTTTAAAAGTAAAAAAACTCATTCCATTGGCAAACTATCTAATTTACCTACTAAATTTAAGGATAAATACACTTAATTTGAGAAATATTTACTTATTCCTAGATAATTTTTCCAGTGATAGATGGGTATTTGGTCCATGCACTGGAAAAAAAATCGAAATCTAGATAAGTAATTTTTTCTTAAAATAAGTACATTTGTTCTTGAATTGAGGAGGTAAAAGAGACATTTTGCAGTGGAACAAGATAATTTACACTTGAAATAAGAAAACACGATTGCATTGTCTTATTTCAAGTGCATATTCTCTAATTATCTTATTTCAAGAGTAAAAATACTCATTCCATGGGCAAATTATCTCATTTACCTACTTAGAATAAGGATAAATACACTTAATTTAAGACATTTTTACTTATTTCTAGATCGTTTTTCCAGTGATAGATGGGTATTTGGTCCATGCACTGGAAAAAATCTAAATCTAGATAAGTCATTATTTTTAAAAATAAGTGCATTTGTTCTTGGATTGAGGAGATACAAGAGACACTTTGCCAATGGAACAACACAATTTACACTTAAAATAAAAAAAAACAATTGCATTGTCTTATTTCCAGTGCATATTATCTAATTATCTTATTTCAAGAGTAAAAATACTCATTCCATGGGCAAATTATCTCATTTACCTACTTAGAATAAGGATAAATACACTTAATTTAAGACATTTTTACTTATTTCTAGATCGTTTTTGCAGTGTGCATCTGTCTGATTTGGAAAATCCGTCACATTCAAGTGATTAGGCATAGAGTTAATAAATAAAATCCAGATCTAAACATTTCCATAAACACCTTTTCAATGCAAGAATAAAAAGTTAGACAACTTATAGAGTAAATTCTGTAACTTTTTAGTGGTACACTGCAAAACGATTAAGATAAAAGTAAAAATTTCTTAAATTAAGTGTATTTGCCCTTAATTTGAGTAGGTCAATAAGATGCACTGGAAAAAGTCAAAATCTCGATAATAAATTTTTTCTTAAAATAACTGCATTTGTTCTTGGATTGAGGAGGCAAAAGAGACATTTTGCCAATGGAACAAGACAATTTACACTCAAAATGAGATAAAACAATAAATTGTCTTATTTCAAGTGCACATTATCTATTTATCTTATTTTAAAAGTAAAAAAAACTCATTCCATTGGCAAACTATCTAATTTACCTACTAAATTTAAGGATAAATACACTTAATTTGAGAAATATTTACTTATTTCTAGATAATTTTTCCAGTGATAGATGGGTATTTGCACTGGAAAAAATCTAAATCTAGATAAGTCATTATTTTTAAAAATAAGTGCATTTGTTCTTGGATTGAGGAGATACAAGAGACACTTTGCCAATGGAACAACACAATTTACACTTAAAATAAAAAAAA